TGCCGCTGTACAATATGACCAATGCGCCTTCCAAGAATGCCGCTGTACAAGATGACCAATGCGCCTTCCAAGAATGCCGCTGTACAATATGACCAGTGCGCCTTCCAAGAATGCCGCTGTACAAGATGACCTGTGCGCCTTCCAAGAATGCCGCTGTACAAGATGACCAGTGCGCCTTCCAATAATGCCGCTGTACAAGATGACCTATGCGCCTTCCAGGAATGCCGCTGTACAAGATGATCTGGATGTCTTTCAAAAAGACATCTACAAAATAACCACCAATGATTATTTTGAAAACTATAAAATTCTAATTTTATTAATATTTTATTTAGTATTATTACTTATCGAGGATTCGTAAGTGTAATAGTTCATGTTAGTATCAGTCAACTGTCTAGTAGTAAAACAATTTGTAGTGTCCTTTAAGGTGCGATTACACGGAGTAATTGTCTCTGCAACTTGTCTTAAAACGTTGCGACATAAGTTGCATGAGTATTTTCACAGTGCAACAGAGACGCAAACAACTGCCGCAATTTGTCTCGCAACATTTTTTTTTCAAATCCGTTGCCAGACAAGTTGCAGAGAAAATTGCTCCATGTTATCGCGCCTTTTAAGAAAATAAAAGTATTTTTGGATACGTAATAAGTGATTACCGCCATAATCCTTTACGCACACGACATGTCCTGAATCTCCTTTACACTCATAAAATAAATCCATCATCCTTTGTCACAACAATTTGAGCCTTTGTGCACAACATGACACTTTGACCCTGTACATGTGATATATCCTTGATCCTTCACGCACGTGATACATCTATGATTCTTTGCGCATATCAGGTGATACATCCATTATCCTTTACGCATAACATGTGACACATCCATGATCCTTTGCGCATAACATGTGATACATCCATGATCCTTTGCGCATAACATGTGATACATACATGATCCTTTGCGATCTTCTTTATGATCATTGTAATCACACACACACTAGCTGACCTGCTGGTCCTTTGGAATATTAATTTGACTCAATATCACAGTTAATTTCTCGTAGTTCATCTTCATCTCCTTCAGCTGTTGGTTCGCTTCGTTGTTCTGTTTCATCACCGAGGTTCGTTTTCTTTTCTCTTCTTCAAGCTTCACTTCGGCAGCCGATAACGCTGCTTTCAAATCTGCAACTGTCTGTTCCAAATTTACAAGCAACTCACTCAGCGAACGTTTCTCTTCTTTGAGTTCATATGATAATTGTCTAGTTTTAGCATTCTTATTTGAATTCTGTCTGTGTTTCCAATAAAGGTCCTTAAAAAGTCTTTGTAAAAGTCTAACTTTACGAGCTAATACTCTATCGCGGTTTCGTAAATACTTTGCTGTTTCTTCAGCTTTTTCCAGTTTTTTAACTACCGATCCATTCATATCCTCCAGTTCTTTCTTCTCCAGAACCAATCGCTGTATTTGTTCCATATTTTTCTGTGCATTTTTCTCGAGTACATGACGTTCTCCCTTCAAGTCTGTAACTTCTAGTTCCAGCTTTGCACTTTTGAGCAGCAAAGACAGATATTTTTCATTCAACTGACTGCGACTTTCTTCGGCCAGTTCGTACATACTTTGCATCGAAATACGCGAATCTCGTTCTCTCTTCGCAGCCTCCTGCGCTACTTTAATTCCTTTGAGTAATTTTAAATTCTTATGTCCCAATAAAGATTTCTCCATTGCAATTCCTTCAATCCTGGTCTCCAGCAACTGTTTTTCGCGTTCCACTCGAAGGAGACTGGACTCTAGGTGGTCTAATCTTGTCTTGATGACGTCAGAATCACAACGCCCACTCGTTGTTTCAAACAATGCAGCCTCGGTTCCATGCTTTAGAATAAACTGGATCAATGCTTCCGCCGTGCGTTCGGATTCTTCAGGAAGCCGAACCGAAAAATCTTTCCTGAAAAATAAAAAAAAGGAATAAAAAATTCGTGGTTCTAACCAATGAAATAAACTTCACATTCATGTGCGTTTACCTTTTGGCAGGAAACAAGATAATGGTGGGATAAGCAGCCACCGTGTGTTGCCATGGTAAGTCATTTTGATCACCATCGATTCTAATAACAAAGAATGAATCAGTAACGAACTTGTTCCGCATGGAATTATGGGAAGCAAGATGGCGGAGCTGAACAATTTGCACAGTCTGAAAATACTGAACCAAATCAGTGCGTTTAACCAAACTTACCTTGCTATGGTCACGTGTTTATTATTCTTAAAAAATCGTGCTACGGTCAAGAGGACTGGGGCGAGATTAATGCAGAAGCCGCACCATGAGGCGTAGTACATCAGTAAAACATCCTGGTAAAAAAAAAAAAGACGCAAGATGCAGTTATTTCTAGTATTCTTATAAAAGCCGTAAGAAGAAAAAGAAAAAGAAAGCATTGATTCGGTACCTTTTCATCGTCCATTACATTATCGTCCAAAGTAGCTGAAGTCACTTCTAATACGCATGCGTGTGGTTCAGGGCATGCGTTACTTGGTTTGTCCGCTGACCGCAGTGCTTGCTTTAGCCTGGTGTTCATGAAGTGCATCACAAACTCAACTGTAAGTAGAACAATAATAAAGACACAATAAAGTGTTAACAAAGACACAATACAAGAGTCCAATGCATTGAATAAGGAAACAGGTATAAAAAAGTTGGTAACAACACGGATAGATAGACTAACCTATTGTGTTGTTATTGATAGGAAGCTCTTCGTTCAGTACGTGGTGAACTTCATTCTTGAAAACAAAAATGAGAAAAATGTCTAATGAATAAATAAAGTCACAGCTTGTTGCAAGACATGCTAAAGTCGTTATTAGTAGCGAGTTTCCCATCCCACTTCCACTAAGGAGTACAACGTATCCAACCTCACCTTCACATCCACAATTGCCAAAGCCASTTTATTTTTAAGGACATCGAGACTCCCTTTCACACCAAGCCGTTGCACAACACTCCAGAACCTTCCAGTATCCATATAGAAGAAATTGACAGATCGGTTGCTATGACAACTAGCTCCATTAAAGACTGTGACATGCCCAGTCCTGTTGCATCCATCACGTGACCCGATTGTTTGATTTCTTGCTGTGGTATTTCTTTGGACAGTTTGAACACTTCCAGTGCTTACTGCTGCTGGTGGTGGCGTGACACTAGATTGACCAGGCAGACCACCATGGGTTGCCTGTAGCCCAGAATATACACTTTCATTATCAACATGTCCTTTTTGCAAAGGTTCAATAGCCTTCAAGAGTTTATAATACAAACTATCAAACAGATTATCAATACTTTGTTGTATCATTGGATCATCTGTAAAAGGAAACATTTTTCTTAGTTCTGCCATCYTATGGTCTGTTGCACTTTGTGAGGCTCGTCCACAACAGATACTGGCCTTAAGTCCAGGATAATAAAAGGTCTGTATACTACTACAAGATGCAGTCATACTTAAACCATTTCTACGTAATCGATTAAGTATGACGTCAAACGCGTTCCCATGGTGACAATGAGGTCCTTTATTACAGCAAATATCACAGACGTTTTTTCTGTTGTATGTTTTATCCTTCAAAACTAGTGAACCACATAGGAAATGATCTTGTTCCGTTAGGGTACGTGACGGGCGGATGTCATTAAGATTAACTGGGGTAAAGGGGAGCTCCTCTTCCTCTGTCGGCTGGGTCTCAATGCTGTGTGCTTCTGATGTTGTCTTATTTACACACGAGCAGTTGTGATAATGTGTGGCCACTTGTGTGAACTAGAAAGAAAGAAAAATTAACTGGGACAAGAATTAAAGTTCAGCGATCCACCTAGAGCCCTTGCAATAGTGACGTCACAGTAAAGTATAGATAGTATACTTACCAGTGCTAGGAGAGGGGATGATATTGCTTGTGTTCTGAGGGGCAAGAAGAGTATGACAGCTGGTTTGTCATTAAGCTGGTATTCTAGTGCATGTCTGTTGGTAGGTCTGGGAACAAGCTCTACAATCAACTGAAAGACAACAAATATTCATTCCCGGATAATTTTTGGGTTATCATTAAAGCTAGCTTCTTTCTTTTCACTTCAACAAACACAAAACCTTTCCATGCATTATACATAATACAGTGGCCAATTCCTTGGCCTGGAAATAGCTAAATTATATTCTGGAGGTTGTATTTATGCTATAGAAACACCAATCACAATTGATTCTCAGGGAGTTGTAATTGGGCTCGTTCTATCAATGACAGAAGTTATTTTCTTTTATCATGATTTCTTTCTTTACCTCTTTCCTGCTCTTTGATATCCAGTCTGATATATTTTGTACTGTGGTGTTAACCGTAGGATTGTAAAACTAAAAGAAAAACAATTAGCAAATAAATATTTTTATATTTACTAGAAGAAACGAATGAGGGAAAGAAAAAGGAAGATGAAAAAGAAGAAAGTAACAGTTGACTCACCAGGGTGGGGTGAAGCAATCTGTAGAAAGAAATCTCTCCATTCCTCGTCATCCCTGCTTTTCGTGCTAATTTAACATCAGTGATTAAACCAAACAAAGGTCTGGAAACTTGAATAACAACATGTAAAAGTTAAGTTCAAAATACTGTGGGCTTTATTTGTGTTGATTAAATATTTACCCATTTGTGTCATCCTCTAGATTTAATGGTTGTGCATTGAGAATCATACATGAACATGGATACCAATCAAACAAAGATTCTTAATATTCTCAAGAGAAATGTGGTCAGTAATCAATGGGAAAACATTATGCCCAAGCTAAAGAGGTCTATTAAAATTATATTCAGGAGAAGTAATTGATGGTATAGGGGGTTTAATGATGCAAAAGAATCATGTGCTGTAAGCAATAATATGTATGCTGGCATAAACACAGTTCTGGGGTTGCCTGTGAACCTTCTCTCCATTATGTACTGGGGTGCCTGTGAACCTTCTCTTCATTATGTACTGGGGTGCCTGTGGACCTTCTCTATATTATGTACTGAGAGTACATGTAGTTGGAGGTAGGAAAGCTATAGTATAAGCAATATATATTGAAAACACCCTTGATATCAACGGTAGTATTAATACCTTGTCCAGTAAAAGATAATGCTGTCCCAAAGAAACATAGATACTCTTTGCTTTCAAGGTTGTCATGGTAACTCAAGACCACTTCCTAATATGGAGAGAGATCATTGAGTCAACAAACGATCATGAAGAAATAGAAAACGCGCGCGCGTGCTGTTTGCTGTTATAAAGCACATGGGGGTTGGCAGAACACGAGAGAAGCGTTAGGAGAAGCACGACGTGTAGCGGAGTGCTTCTGGACACTTCTCGAGTGTTCTGCCAATCCCCAAGTGCTTTATGACTGTACACAGCACAGCAAGCAAGTTTTCTATTTCTTTTATGAAATACAAATTACAATAATAGATAGGAATGACGCAATGGAAAGTGCGTGCACGTGCAATGTGCTCTCATAAAGCACCCGCTCCAAACCAATCAGAACGCGACATTCATAACAGTTATTCTATTATACATGTATAACGCACATTGTATAACAGAAATAAGTCGGGGAGAATAATTCTATGCCATGATTATGCAGCCCTTGGCTTTCATCAATCAAATTTCAAACAATCTGAGCTTGTAATTTTTTGATTGACAGAAGCCAAAAAGCCAGATTTCCGAGGCTGTGATGGTCAAATAAGTAATGTTAAATGTAACTGCATTCAATAGGCTGTTTGCATGAAGGCTTCATTTGTCTACGACTACCAAAATGCTTTGCAAATTTTCTTTCTTATTCAAATTTGTATTTCCTCATGAGAATAGTAAGACAATTGGTGCTAATTAACTGAACAAAAGAAAGTGTACCAATGAGATTCTAGTAGTGGTAATAGTTACTAAAGACATAATTCAAGTGTCCAATGCATCGTACCTGGTTTTTGTTTTTCATTTCTTGTAGGTCTGTCTCTCTTGTGATGTATGAAAAAGGCCTGACAACATTCTGAATAAACCTTACCTACATAAATATAATGTTTGTAAACTCTGTAAGATTTAAATCAAAACATGTTTCAGGCTTTTCTTAAATCCTACCAAATGTTCTAACTCCTCCTTAAATAATTGACTTATTAACCTGGGCCGGGTTGTTCAAAGCTGGATTAGAGCTAATCCAGGATTAACTCTATAGGTCTTATTAAGAGTTAACCCAGGATTAGCACTAATAATTAGTGTAATAATTAATAATTATTGGGCTTTGAACAACTGGGCCCTGTCACTCTGTCATAAACTAATTACCATATACGAAGAATGGACGTCATAATCTTCAGGGTATTGAACGCCAGCAAAGTCAGTATGGTATGCGAGGATCTTTGGGAATGAATCAAGGATGTATTTTTCTTTACATGATCCTGTCCAACAGTTAATGGCAATAAATGTCACCTAGAACAAATCATGCAATTAAATTATTACTGCATGAGAATAAAACATGTTCACACTTTATCTAAATTATAAATGAGGACTTTGTTCTTTTTTATATTTTCTTTCTTTCTTTATTGCGGGGGGTGGTTGTCACGTACCCTTCACTCCCCTGTAATAATGTCCAACTGTTCCTTTAATATGAATAAATGAATACTCACCTCTCGATGCAGAATATTTGCAGCTCTTACAAACTGTGGCACAATACTTCTTGACTGTCCACACCATGGTGCATAAAATAAGACAAACTTCAATGGACTTTGATCCAGAAAACTAGACAATGTATCCAGAGATCCATTTGTGATTTCATGAACTTTTGCCTTAGAATTGAAAAGTGGCCAGTGCTTTGGGAAGGCAGATACATTTTCTCCCCTAGAAAATAATCATATCCAGACGAAGAACCATTGATATATCATTTACTTCTGGCAGACATTAAGATCTCTTTGTTGTATTCTAATGTAATGCAAGATGGGCGTATCATAACTACAAGCAAATAACAAGAACCGTTGATTCTAAGTGTGAGAATAACTGAGAAACAGATCGACTAAGATATATAAGTTGCTTTATCGTTTGAATATTAAATTATTTGCTTGAATCTTGAAATAAAGAAATTACTGAGGGGCAGTACTTTCAAATTGTTAAAATAAAGTCTATCAGCTTAACAAATTTTTTTTACAGCAAAAATTTAAAAAATACGTATATTATGGTGTATTTTATATTGTACCGTTGTCTTCTCAATTGATCCTAAAATATTTACGACTATTGTATAGCTTATTTCGGAAATTAAGCTTAAATAAGATAAAGTGTTGATGTTTTTTTACCGGCATGAGATCCAAGCACAGCCCACAGCAAAACAAACCAAAACAAGGCAAAGGAAAAGGCATGGATGGCGAGTCATGATGTTCACTACATTGTGTAGACATCCACGTCCCATTCATGCACTTGTTCTTGTCTTCTTTACTCTTCTCTTGTCCTGTTGTTACTCCATTCGAATACAGCCACGTACTAGACACCAGTACTCACGGACAACACAACACAGGGTGACCGCAAGCAATATGTAAGGCTTCCCATTTCACAACACGTGTCATTCTCTTGAGAATAAGATTCTTTGTTTGCGTTGTTTCCATAATTCATGTCTTCTATTTGTATCTATTAAACAAAGGAATGATACCTTAGGAAATGAAATGCAATCCCAAGGTAAAGAGGTCTGTTCGAATAGAATTAATGTACAACCTAAAGATTTTTATATTTAAACATATCTACAGAATAATGAATGACCACTCTTATGATTGCTACAGCTGATCAAGGAAACAGTCAGGACAGGGAAATTGGGAAATACACTTCTGTCAATCAAATAAATTGGTTGGTACCTTTATATTCTCTGATTGGCGGCAGTGTATTGCCCTATTTCCCTGTTACAACTGTTGTCTCGATCAGCACGTAACAGTGAATAGAGTGGTAGTACAGAGGGGTAGAAGCAAAAGTGAAATTAAATCCCATGCTTTACAAAATGTTTTTATATTATTATTCATATTTTCATTTATCTTGACAAAAAATATTTTGGCATACAACTATTACAAATAAGATATATCTTCAAAACCTCCTACATTTAGATAGGCTGCTAGAAACAAACGACTTTGGGTGTGGCAGTCCTGTACAACTCCTGATCATGCAACATTCAGTTCTTTAGTATCTTCAGTATTATTCAAATTTGTCAGAGTCTATATTAAACTTAAATTCAAAATTTAATTCCTCTTAAATTCCTAGGCTGCATCAAGCTTGGTGAAGGAGCAATGAAGTAGATACATGTAGGCAGAGGGTGTCGGCAGAGTTTGCAAAAGTCTAGGGCATACACCTGGTGCCTTGGACACTATGATTCATTATCTTTTATTCTTTCCCATTTATTCCCACTTCTCACATATCTGTGAGGCAATCCATCAGGGAAGACTGTTGTTAATGGTGATGGATTATCAGTGATGTACTTCATGGTGGCTCTTGTTTCTTCACAGAAGCCAGCTGGCTCACAGTGTGGTGAAGTTGAAAGATGCTGTAAGGGAAAAAGGAAGTTAATTAATAGACACACAGGTAACAATGTTTTCTTGGAAATCAATGGAATTGCTTTCCTAGGAAAGAAAATTAATGATTCTATCATGTAATGTAAAATACAAAGTTTTAAGACTTCCAGATGTCCCAGTTGAGGTTGAGTAGAAATTGAAAAATATTTTGTTCATTTTTTTCTCTAGATCAGATGTAACTATAAAGATTCAAACTCAGGAATAGCACCAAGGATTAGTTGAAAACCAACATTGTTTTATGGTAAACATAACAAGACACATAACAATATATATGTACCTTTAATATAAGGTGGTCAGGCGCGTCTTGGAAGAATGAAGCATTTTGCAATGGCTTATAGTCAAAAGGTCCAATCTGGAGCTCACCAACTGATGAATCATAAATTTGAACAACCTGGAGTGACATAATAACGAATTATTTTATTATAAATTAAAGACATTCCAGGGCTGGGTGGGCCATAGATGATAAATGAGGTGGTGGGAAGGTCATCCAAATATCAGTCAATGGGGTAAATTTAGTCAGCCACTTGGAAATGGTGGTTTTAAATACCCAGAAACAGTACCCAGACTACTGCCTGGGTTAGGCTTCTGCTTAATGATTTATAAAGAAATGACATTAGCAAAACAAAAAAAGAAATAGCTCACCTCTTTGCCACCTGTAAAATTTCTTCCATGACGTAAACTGCCTCCTGGTCCTTTATCAGGAAAAGTAGCTTGGAACATCTCTCCTGTCTTAACATTTATGGCTTCATTGTGACATGCAAACAAAGCATATGTCACTATAGGTTATATGGAGTGGAACAGTGAGGGGGGAGTGGGCGACCAACCCCAATTATTTTTTGCTGAATCTCATCCCCCCTTTATGACCGAGACCTCACTATGCCCCTGGTTATATGAGTGTTAACCTACTGATTCTTTCTGACATTGGCCATCAATCAATCTAAATGGTAGCATTTGTAAATTAAGGTATCAGTAAATGCAATGGAACTGCACTCAGCTCTAACAATGTATTTGATTGGCAGATTAATGATTTAATAACTTGTTGCAACTTTTCTCTCAAACAGCACATGGAAATGAAAACAGTGCCTAACTACTGTACCTACTCCATAGACAATGGGTCTGTGCTGTCCCTCTACTTCAATATCATTCAAGTCTGTAGAGAAAAACAAACATCTTATCTTAGTAACTTTAAAATATATACTTATAACAGCAATGAAAAGTAAAGTCATAAGTTTGAAAACTGAATAAAAGGGAAGATGAGAATTATTATTTAAAGTAAACCTCACCAGTAATACATGCAGTACACAAGTTTATTCTGGTTGGCTGCTGCTGTATGATGTCTGAAGAAAAAGCAAAATAAATGTTTTATTTCAGAAGGCTACTGGCAATAATCTAGCATTGCAATAGAAAACAAGTCAATTAGGTAAATTTTATATTTCATATTTAATTAGCTCAAGATTAATAATAATATTTAAATAAATATCTTTATTGGTTAACTATTAAAGTTGAACTTTTTTCCAATTGATCTGGGACTAGTGGACATTAATTCATCACCATCAACATGGTTGATTTAATATGTGATGCATGTACCTAAAATCTCATTGGATATTTCTTCTGACGTTCCTCTGTCATCACGAAACCCACCAAACATATGTAAATCAATTCTACACAAAGAGTTAATAAGAATGTTATATCATTGTCATCGATTTGTAAGATAGCTAAGTAGATGACAAAACTAATCAAGGTAATGAAAAATAGCATACTGTTCATCAGGGTTGTCAGCATATGGTCCTGTTATGGCTTTTATCATGTTTACTAGTGCGCCTTTCATTCCACTTCCATCAAGATGTGCAATACTCGTCATACCTGTTCCTGTAATGGAACGTTGTGTGATACTTAGTAACAAAAACTATTCTGAAATCATGAGACAACTAATGATAAAGTATTGTAACCTCTGTTTCTAAGGATGACAATATGGCATGTTGTGGCATCCTCTGAGCCAACCACAGTTACATTTTCTGAAAATGAATTAATGAAAATTAATATAAATGAAAAATGGATGGATGGATAGATGGAGGGATGGATGGATGGAGGGATTGAGGGAGGGATGGAGGGAGGGATGGATGGAGGGATGGATGGATGGATGGATGGATGGAGGGATGGATGAAGGAATGAATAGATGGAGGGATGGATGAAAGAAAGAATGATGAAAGAAAGAATGGATGGATGGATGAAAGAAAGAAAAAAAAGAAAGCAAGAAAGTAGGGAATCAGAAAAAAAGAGAAAGGTAARAGGAAATAGAAAAATGAATTTAAGAAATGAGAACAAAAAAAGAGATAAATGAGCCCCAAAAAATTTGAGGGGAATAAGTGGGAGTGAGGAAACTTATTAGTTTTGAAGAAAACTAACCATCTGATGAGGACACGATAGCATATTCTCTCTGTACGACATACAACAATCCTGCGCTTGGCACCTCTTTCACTGACTGCTTCCRAAATTGGTTTGCTCCCTCCTGAAAAGATAGACATTTCGTTTAACTTCAAAATTAAACCCAAAACGTTGACAAGTTTTCCTGCAAGACTGTCATACCTTCAAACCGGGAAACTTTTCCGTAATTTTTGTAACGGAGAGATCATAATCATCTAGAATTACTCCTTGTATAATCAAGGGCATCTTGATCATATCATACAGGATAAAAATTAATAATATCCATATGATTATAAAAACAGAAATCTTTGTTTGAGCCGCATGTTATTGTCAACAGCGGATAAACCCACGCTGTGGATGCGCACAGAGGTTATGCGCATTCTGCACCAGTCTCTCTCGTTCGACGCGGGAAAAGAAAATTCAAAATGGCGGACGAAGTTGATAAAATTGAAGGAAAGGTTGTTCAGAAGATATCATTCTCGTATACATCCCCATTCCCTGATGCCTTGTCGTGGTCCTGTGATGACAGAATATCCGTTGTCACGGATCAATGTGTTTATGTGATTGTATCCTTTGCGTCTGCTACTAAAGGACTTTATTCATCTCTTCTCCTCTTATCTGAATGATTGGGAAGTTTCTTATTGTTCTTGAAAGGCGTTTAAAACAAAGCATTAGGGACCTGCTAATAGGCCATATATTTATTACGATAAATGTCATGCTATGGGTTGAATTCACTTGAAAGAATTTCTCATTGGAATTTTCTTTTCTCGGTCGTATTTCTTTCTTTCTTCTTTTTGTTTTGTTTTTTGTTGTTGTTGTTTTGTTTGTTTTTTGCTTTTTGTTTCCAGATTTGGAATTTGATATAATTGGATTTGATATAAGTTAAATTACGTTTTTGTGACATTCAGAACTTAACCTTTTGACAGACATTATTATTTTCAGAAGACGTAGTGAAGTCTAGCTTAAAATATCATTTATCATGCATCCAAGCTCACCAGGAATGTTTCATGTTTGAAACAGGAGATATTGATAATTATGACTTGAGTAGAACAGCATGTACAAAATTAGCTGTTAATCGACTACTAGATCCTATTGCTAATCCATCTAGAACATCAGGAATGAATTTGACGTCGTACAGATCTGTTGCTTGGTCACCTAGTGGCTGTGACAGCTACGGAAGGTATGCTGGTACATGCTGCACGCTACATACATTGATACATTGATTGTCCATTGATAATGGTGTTTGGTTATTGCAATGATTGGACCAATTTTGGTGATGAAAATAGTAGTAGAGATGGTCATAATTATAGTTGTGGTGATGGTGGTGGTGGTGGTGTTGATACCAGTATGATAGTGGTTGTGACACTAATACTTAATGACACTGTTCAGGGCCAGACCTAAATGGTTACTGAGGTAAAAAAGTGGTGAAAGCAAGAGGTCGTGCATCCCCAAAGCGTTTTAAAATTGAGACCCTCGGAAATGCAATTTTCAGAGTTTTGAGGAGTATTTGTGACATTTTACAGAGGCAACTGCCTCAGTTCCCTCATAGTGGCTACACCCCTACACTTATTAGCATAATGGTGGTGGGCAATGATAATCTAATTGTAATAATGTTGATAAAGATGATAATGATGATGATGACAATTTGAATTTTAGGGGGTAAGGTAATGATGATGATGATTATAGTGATGGTGATACAGTTATTATGTCCATGTAGTTAAATAATGTATTTAATCTTTCAGGTGTATTATCGCAACTCTATGCTTAGACCACAGGCTTAGCCTTTACACGACCAATAAAACAAACAAGGAATGGAAAGAAATATCCTGCATATCTGAAAAATGGCACAGCAAATGTAAAACACTATTTGATTCTGATCCAAAATTCAAGAAGTTAAAGAAAAGAAAGGGAAATCCACAGAGTAAGACTCCTGTAAGAGAGTTAATAGCCAAATCAGAGCTTGAAATGGTTTATATCAACATTGTTGCATTAACATGTCTTGACTGGTGCCCTGTTCTACTTGATCATTCAAATCAAAAGTATGCATTACTTACAGCAGTAACTAAGAGTGGCAAAATCACTTTTTGGACAGTTGATGTACCCTGTTCATCAGATGGTATGGCTGATGTTCAGCTTGTTGACAGTAATATTCAGACTGTTATACCACTGCCAAGCTCTGTAGCTTGGTATAGCAGGGATGGCTTGGAAGGTGAGGATATTGAAAGTTATTTCCTTTGTTCATTTTATTTTGATCACTCTATTGTGTTTCTATGATAAACAGTTATGTGTTTGTGTGGTTGCAGGTTTACTAGCTATTGGTGGGTCTAATGGTCAGATAGAAGTCTTGGCTCTCAAGGTATCAAAAGATTCAGAATCCAACCTGAAAATAGACATTCCGTCCAAGCATTTGTTATGGACCGATTGTGACGATCTTGCCGTGAACTGTTTACAGTGGACATACTCTAGTAAGGTGAGATCAAGCTGTGTTGTCTGAGATACCTTTGTACCCATGCTTACCTGTGTTGTCATGGATACCTTTATATCCATGCTTATCCATGTTGTCATGGATACCTTTGTACCCATGCTTACCTGTGTTGTCATGGATACCTTTATATCCATGCTTATCTGTGTTGTCATGGATACCTTTGTACCCATGCTTACCTGTGTTGTCATGGATACCTTTATATCCATGCTTACCTGTGTTGTCATGGATACCTTTATATCCATGCTTACCTGTGTTGTCATGGATACATTTGTATCCACACTTATCTCTATTGTCATAAATACCTTTGTCTTCATCTCTACCTGTATATAGGCTAACTGTATTGTTATGGATATCTTTGTATCAATGGCTACTTGTGTTGCTATGGATACCATTGTATCCATGGCTACCCTTGCAGCCCTTGTTGTCATGGATACTTTTGTAGCCTGGGTTACCTTTCTTGCCTTGAATACCTTTGAGACCCATAATACTGAGATTATGCTTATGTGATACTTACAGGAGCAATGCTCATTTGCAACTCTGTCAGCAAGCAAAGGTTCTGCAGTTGTACAGTTCTCAGTTCCACTATCAGATGGGGAAAAGCTTGAAGAATCAAAACACCACATTCATAATGAGGTACATTCAGCATTTGTGACTGGTTTGGATGTTTGTCAAGATGGAAGAGTGTTCACATGTGATTCTGATGGTTTGCTACAGATGATTGATGCCAGTAAGTTGATCATGTAGAGTAGCTTTAGTGTTTTGCAGGACAAGTTTATCATAGCATTGTATCATACTTTGCCTTGGCCATGACAGAGCTATTTTCCAGCAGTATGMATGGTAAAGGATCAGCCTTCCAGAATGAGTTATGCACCCCTGAGTTGTACACTCCTGCTATAAGTAAGAGGTCTGCAGCTCATGAGTTGCTATGTACACTCCTGCTATAAGTAAGAGGTCTGCAGTTCATGAGCTGCTATGTGCACTCCTGCTATAAGTAAGAGGTCTGCAGTTCATGAG